CCGCTCTGGAAGAACCCACAGTCCAGGTCAATTGGGAGGTTTGGGGGGAACCCGGGCCCGCCCTCTACTCCGGGTTCCAGCCCAGGGCCCTGTGGACTGCAGCCGTCTATAGTGCCTCCTGTAACTGCTGCATGACAGCTACAACTCTCTGGGCTACTTCCCCATGGCCTCCTCCAAACACCTTCCTCCTGGTGTCTGATAACGCTTGTGCTCCTCAGTCCTCCAGCAGCATACCCACACCCACACCCTCTCAGCTTCTTGCACCTCTTGCTCCCAGCTCCTCACACTCATCCCACAAATTGAAGTGAGCTCCTTTTAAAACCCAGGTGCCCTGATTAGCTTGCCTTAATTGATTCTAGCAGCTTCTTCTTAATTGGCTCCAGGTGTCCTAATTAGCCTGTCTGCCTTAACTGGTTCTAGCAGGTTCCTGATTACTTTAGTGCAGCCCCTTCTCTGGTCACTCAGGGAACAGAAAACTACTCATCCAGTGACCAGTATATTTGCCCTCTACCAGACTCCTGTACCCCTCTGGTCTGGGTCTGTCACAGTACTTATTTGGTGAATCTCACTTGCCATGGCATCAAGAAGATAACATGCATATTATAGCATTGGGAGTTAGACTTTAACTATATGAAATAACAACTGGGTGTCTCTGAATAAGGGAGTACCTGGCAAGTTGTGGGTATTTTTAATCCTTAGTCACTTTCTAACCCATTGGAAGTTTCATGATGTAAATCCCTGATATATGCTTAGCTCCAAAAGGCAGGAGATCTGAGAAGAGTGTCCTGTTCACAGGTCAATGAGTTAAGTTTGCATTATTGACATGCTGGTACTTTGTTAGTCTCCAAAAAACATAATACATGCCCACTTCCACTTACATCAAAAAGAGCCAGAGAACAGAAAGTTTTCTGATTTAGAACTGGCAGGTGATTTGTAATAATTGGCTGTTGGGAGTTGAATTACTTAATTTATTCCAGCTAATAGAATCTCATATCCTTGTTATGTATTCCCAGCAGTTAATTTACAGAAGGAAGGGATGGGGTTTGGAGAAGAATGGTACCTTATGTTTTTCTAAGAACTCCGGTGTGAGCGTCCATGGAGCATCTCTGATGACTTCATCTACGTAGCGACAGTGTCTGAGTGCCTCATACCGCTCGGTTTCATTCATTACGGTGAAGCCTTTGAACTTGTGGGTTAGATCATCACTGCAAACTGACATAAGAACAATCAACAAAATATTTCTATGTTAACTTTGCACAATTACTGCATCTGGTTGGTAAGAACTTTCTGATCAATATCCTTATTTTAAAGTTGTTCGTTGAGTTACATTCCATTTTCAAACCAAATAAAGATGTGCCTCTTTCTGTCTTTGAAACGGAGACCAGAAGTGCATGCTAAATAGGAGGAATGATCTGCAAAGTTCCAGAAATGTGCTTACACATCTCTAAATCACTGTTAGACAGTTGTATTGAAACCAGCACAAATTAATAACACACAAGTGCAGTCATAGTGGCCTGGGCTATGGATTTAGCAGATTTCACAGCATGTGAGGTTTGGCCTGATCCGTATTCAAACAGGAAATCTCTGATCAAAACCCAGTTGTGGGATTGTAAGAGGCAGTGTGCTCTGGAGGAATGTTGCATAGGATGTGGACTCAGGAAATTTTATATTCTAATCCTGGTTTTTAATAAGCTGGGAAATAAGGCCTATATCCCGGGGCTGTTGTGTAGATTAGTTAATGTTTGTACAGCATTCTGAAGGTGTAAAGAACTATACAAATGCTAAATCTTATTACTGCTGCAGGAAGGGTTATTGATGACTCAGCAGCTGGACATGCTTCCCTCTGTATCAGCGCTGATCTAACACTCCAGTGTGGTGCTAGTGCAGGGGTGTGCAAACTTTTTGACCCAAGGGCCACATCTGGATATGGAAATTGTATGGTGGGCTATGAATGCTCATGAAATTGGGGGTTAGGGTGTGGGATGGGGTGAGGGATCCGTCTGGGGGTGCAGGCTCTGGGGTGGGGCCAGAAATGAGGAGTTCAGCGTGTGGGAGTAGACTCCAGGCTGAGGCAGGAGGTTGTGGTGCGGGAGGGTGTGCGGCTCCAGCTGGGGCTCTGGGTGGGGTTGGGGGTGCAGGAGGGTGCTCTGGGCTGGGACCGAGGGGTTTGGAGGGTGGGAGGGGAGTCAGGGCTGGGGCAGGGGGTTGAGGCATGGGAGGAGGTACAGGCTCCAAGTGGCACTTACTTCAAGCAGCTCCCAGAAGCAGCAGCATGTCCTCCCTCCGGCTTCTATGCAGAGGTGCAGCCAGGCAGCTCTGCGTGCTGCCCCGTCCGCAGGCGCCGCCCTTGCAGCTCCCATTGGCTGTGGTTCCCAGCCAATGGGAACTACGGAGGCAGCGCTTGGGGCGGGGGCAGCGTGTGGATCCCCCTGGCTGCCCCTATGTGTAGGAGCCGGAGAGGGGACAGCTTCCAGGCTCCTGCTTCCAAGAGCCACAGCACACATGGAGCGGGGCAAGCCCCGGACCCTGCTCCCTGGCTGGAGCACCAGAGCAGGGAAAGCCTTGGACCCTGCTCCCCAGCAGGAGCTTGAGGGCCAGATTAAAACATCTGAAGGGCCAGATGCAGCCCCCAAACCGCAGTTTACCCACCCCTGTGCTAGTGGATACTCTTCTACTGAAGGTGTCATCTTTTGAATAAGATGTAAAATAGAGGTATTTCCTTTCATTGCGCCTGTCCACTTATGGTACATGCCTGTCAGCCACCAAGGGCTTCTTTCTGGTTACCACACTCTCCTGGGCCTACTGGTTTGCAATGTATTTATAAGGAGGGCTGGCTCCAGGTTTTTTGCCGCCCCAAGCAACAACAACAACAAAAAAGCTGAAGCAACAAAAAAAACAACAACCCAAAATCAAAAAACGGAGTGCCGCCCCCTGAAAAGTGCCGCTCCAAGCACATGCTTGGGACACTGGTGCCTAGAGCCGGCCCTGTTTATAAGATCCATTTAGTGAATTACTTTAAAAAAAATCTTAACTCCAAATAAATATTTCCACAACAAGAAATAAGATGACAAGATGCACACAGTGAGACATGTGACACCAGACTCTGGTGCAGCGCAAATTTTATGTGGGGATTGATGGTTGACAGTTTAACTAGACTGGGAACTGTGCATATGCAGCTGAGGACAGAGTTTGACTTGATTCTTACTTTGACATAATTTTAAGATGGACTATTTGTTATGGTGTCAAATACCATCAAAACAGGAAGTAGTGCTCAAAGTCAGAGTGTATAAACAGCTGCAGCTGGGAACATGGCAATACTGCTCCTCTGCTACTTCAGAATAGAGGCAAAAATCCAGTAAATAGATGTGCTCTTACCTCCTACTAATAAGTAGCTATTTGGGAAGAGAGTTTTGGCTTGCATAAGAGCTCTAGCATGGCCGGAGTGGAAGAGGTCAAATATCCCATCTGCATACACTCTAACTGGTCTGTCAACTGTGGGGAAAGAAACACAACAACGATTTGACTGGAGGATAGCTAATGTGATGACAACTTTTAAAAAGGGCTTCAGAGGTGATCCCAGCAATTGCAGGTCGGTAAGTCTGACTTTAGTACTGGGCAAACTGGTTGAAACTAGTAAAGAACAAAATTGTCAGATGCATAGATGAACATAATTTGTTGGGGAAGAGTCAACATGGTTTTTGAGAAGGTCAACAAGCATGTGGACAAGGAGGATCCAGTGGATATAGTGTACTTAGATTTTCAGAAAGCCTTTGACAAGGTCCCTCACCAAAGGCTCTTAAGCAAAGTAAGCTGTCATGGGATAAGAGGGAAGGTCCTCTCATGGATTGGTGACTGGCTAAAAGACAGGAAACAAAGGATAGGAATAAATGGTCAGTTTTCAGAGTGGATAACGGTAAATAGTGGTGTCCCCCAGGGGTCTGTACTGGGATCAGGTCTATTCAACATATTCATAAATGATCTGGAAAAAGGGATAAACCCGTGAGGTGGCAAAATTTGCAAATTATACAAAATAGCTCAGGATAGTTAAGTCCCAGGCAAACTGCGAAGAGCTACAAAAGGATCTCTCAAAACTGGGTGACTGGGCAACAAAATGGCAGACAAAATTCAATGTTGATAGATGCAAAGTAATGCACATTGGAAAACATAATCCCAACTACCAGGAGCGGTGCCAGGGTTTCTGCTCCTCCTCTGAGCATTCGGCGGTGAGGGTCCTTCTGCTCTGAGTCTTCGGGGCACTTTGGCGGCGGGTCCCGGAGCGAGTGAAGGACCTGCCGCCGAATTTCCGCTGAAGACCTGGAGCGGAAGGACCCCCTCCCCCGCGCCGAATTTCCGCCGAGGGCGGCAAAATGCTGCCCCCCAAATCCTGCCACCGTAGGCGACCGCCTAAGGTTGCCTAGTGGAAGCGCCGGTCCTGCCAACTATACATATAAAATGATGGGGTCCGCTCAAGAAAGAGATCTTGAAGTCATTGTGGATAGTTCTCTGAAAACATCCACTCAATGTGCAGTGGCAGTCAAAAAAGCAAACAAAATTTTGGGAATCATTCAGAAAGCGATAGATAAGACAGAAAATATCACATTGCCTCTATATAAATCCACATCTTGAATACTGTGTGCAGACTGGAATTGGAAAAGGCTCAGAAAAGGCAACAAAAATGATTAGGGGTATGGAACAACTTCCATATGAGGAGCGATTAATAAGACTGGGACTTTTCAGTTTGGAAAAGAGATGACTGGGGGGGGGGACGATATGATAGAGGACTATAAAATCATGACTAGTGTGGAGAAAGTAAATAAGGAAGTGTTATTTACTCCTTCTCATGACACAAGAGCTAGGGGGTCACCAAATGAAATTAATAGGCAGCAGGTTTAAAACAAACAAAAGGAAGTATTTTTTTCACACAATGCACAACCTGTGGAGCTCCTTGCCAGAGGATGTTGTGAAGGCCAAGACTATAACAGGGTTCAAAAAAGAGCTTGATAAGTTCATCGAGGATAGGTCCATCAATGGCTTTTAGCCAGGATGGACAGGGATGGTGTCCCCAGCCTCTGTTTGCCAGAAGCTGGGGATGGATCACTTGAGGATTACCTGTTCTGTTCATTCTCTCTGGGGCACCTGGCATTGACCACTGTCAGAAGACAGGATACTGGGCTAGATGGACCTTTGGTCTGACCCAGTATGGTCATTTTTATGTTCTTATGATTTTCAGCTTTAACAGGAGTCATGTGTAAATCCAGCTGATCAGTTTTGGCCTCTAGTAAGAATGTTGTGGGGTTTGTTTTCTCCTCAGATATGCAGAATTACAGTGGGTAAATTTAAAATGTTTTATTCCGCTTACTCTTCTACATCCTTGTGATGGGGCACCTGTCCCACACTGGGCTCTAAGGGGTTAATAGAGCCCTTGGGAGGCTGCGCAGGAGGCGGCAAATCAGAGAGGGGTTGCGAGGAGCAGCCAATTAGGGCTGGGCTGGCCTATATAAGAAGGGCAGCAGAACAGCTTTGGTCACTTCCTGGAGCTTGAGGAGGGAGGTAGACTGGCTGCCTTGCAGGTTGAAGGCAGTAAGCACCCTGGACAGAGCAGTGCTGCAGGCAGAGACCCAGGGAGCTAAAGGCAGATGCTTGTGGGCTGCAGGGATCTGCAGGCTGAGGCCCTGAGGCAAGAGTAAAGAGGGTGCTGTGGCCGTGGGGAAGTGGCCCAGGGAAATCTACTGAGGAGTAAGAGGGGGTGCTGAAAGCTTGGCCATCTACAGGGTCCCTGGGCCGGGATCCTGAGTAGTGGGCAGGCATGAGTCCCTCCCCTTCCCCCACTTGCCACTGAGGAAGTGGCTAGACTAAGGAACTACGACATTCCCCCGGAAGTGGGGAGTACAGAGTGTGGCACAGCTGGAGGGCTGTGTCACAAAGACAATGCCCTGGTCCCGGGAGTGATGTGGATCCCTGGAGGAGAAGTGATTGCGGCGGGATGCCACCAGAAGAGGGAGCCCTGGCTAGCAGAGCTGATCCCTGGAACATCCAGCAGGGGGCACTGCAATGGTGAGTCCCATCCCATCAGAATCCTCTTTACTGTGTTCTCCTCAAGTTGGCCTCTTTATTATCCTCCCTTTCCCCTGAATTCTCACTTGGAAAAAGCTCTTTTTCCTGTCTCACTCCATTTGTGAGATCTCACTTTTTTCTCTGCTCCCTGCCTTTCTCTTCCTCAGCTTAATGCTGTACACCCATGTTTGTTTCCTCTTGCATCTACACCTTTCCTCTTCCCTCACACTCTTCTCCTTTCTGATTAACCTTTCTATCTTTCCCATTCTTATTGCCTCCTCCTGTTTGCTCCCTACTACCCATCTCTTCCTGCACCCCACTCATCATGCCCTGGCAGTCGGCTGCAGGCCTAAAGAGGACCTGCCACACTGAGTGGCATGCCTGGCCACTTGGCTACAGATAGGCAGTCCCTGTATAACTGAAAGAGAAACGACTGGGGCTCTGAGCTCCAGAACTGCTGCTGCCGTGCAGCAGAAAGACATGTCACTGTTCAGGATCACCATATCTCCCATGACTCAGGTGAAATGTGGAGAAAACCATGTTTCTTGGAAAACTCCCTGGGAAGATGGGGATGCTTCCTCAAAGCAGGGTAACCGGCAGCTTTTTGGGGCCCCCTGTAAAACCATCAGTTGGGATCCTCCCCACCATCTGAAAGGTCCATGATCCAGAGTATGACCTACCATAAACTCCTCTGCCATGATACCGGATTAGAAGGGAACAGGTGAAGTGTTTAACACTTGTCTGTGCGTTATGCAAAGGGAGTTAGAAAAATAGTGGATCAACATTTCCATTTAGACAGGTGGAGGGAGGAACTTGTAATGTGGCCACCCAGGGTCTTAATAAAGGGAAAGGCTCCCTGATTCCCTAGGGCTGTAATTAGTCAGTCAGCATGAATCAGCTCATACCCCACACCATTTGGAACTGGAGAATGGGCGCCAAACATCACACCATCATTGTGGGGGCCCTGATGCTAGGGTGTTGCCTGCACTGCAGGCCTTGACTGGCATTGTAATGTCAGAAAGGAAAAAGTGATTTCTCACCACACCATATAGGTACTCAGGCAGAGTACATATATACACTCCTAAGCTGTGGTGCTGTCAGAGGAGATATATCACAGAGGCCATGAAGTGTTTCGAAATGTGAGGAAAACACTCATTTTAGCCAGTATCCCATATGATTTCAGTATGCAAATAACCTGTGTGTTGAGATTTGCTGAGTTACCTCTTATGTCCAAATCTCACTGCTCAGCATTTTTATAACTGTTCAAAAATTAACAACTACATTAAAGTGTGTGGTCTGTATGTCTAAGAAAACATAAATATCCTTTTGTTACACCTCCCTGAGCCCCAGTCAGGTAATATATGCTGCTCCTCCTCCCAACTGAAGAGTGCTTTTGTAATAGTGAAATACTTTCACAACTGAAAGTCTGTGTCTGTGGAAGCTGCTTTTAGTCCTGTTAATGCTGCTGTCAGCAAAGATGTCCAATTAATCAAGACTCACCTGGTGTTCCCAGGCGGGCCTGAGTGATGGTTAGTTTCTCATGTGGGGCTTGGCACTGACAGCTTATTTCATCTGCAAATGGAGCAGGTGCAATCAGAGTCTGGAAGGCAATGGAGGGGTAGAGACAGAAAAAAACAAAACAAAAATTACATGAGCAAATATCTAGCTCATTCTTCAACCAGGAAGACAAACCTGAATCATTTCATTGTATGTCAGCGAGTCCTAACTGTGCATAATGATGGCTTGTTTCATTTTTGAAATCACTCATGAGCTCACCCAATTTATACAAAAAGTGCCAATTAAGCACTGAGGAGACTATGGTGTTTTTAAAACACCATGCAGACTAAACCTTGGTCTTAGTCAAGAAGCTCTAATGTTTTGGAAGTGGTTCAGGAAAATAAACAATCTATCCACACATTGAATTCAGGTCTCTCTGGCTACCGGCCCAGTGTGTAAGAAGCTTAGTTCTTGGACTGTTGATTGTATGAGCTTTCTCTTTTCCTGGGCTATGTCTTGTCTACTAAATCCAAAACAATCAGCTGGCACAGTAGCTTGTCTACTGGGAGACTCAATCGGGGTGAGTAGGGTTCTTTTCCTTAGTGTCTTTCCTGCAGTTTTCAGATAAAACATCTACTTTTTGCTATTTATCATTTGTGAGCATGGGATAGTTGCACTTAGATCAGTGTCCAGGAGGTAAAACGCTCAGTTATATTAGAAGTAACTGAAAAACTGATTAGATACTAGGATTTTGGAAAACACTAACTGATCATCTCCTCACTAGCTTTTGAGTGGATTGGGCACAAACTCCACCCACTGACAAAAATTAGATATAAACTACCTCTGTTGAATTTTTCATGAAGCAAGGGTCCTTGATACTTCATTTTATTATTGATAAAGGACATACAAAGTCAGGGCTGGACTGAGGTAGGAAATCCCAGTGAAATTCTGACTGATTTATCTGGAATTCCTTTCATTATTATTATTATTTTGTATTGCAGTAATACTTAGACACCCTAACTGATGTCCAAGCTCCATTTTATTAGATGGGGCTATATATACATATACTAAGAGACAGTGCCTGGAGAGTTTATACTTGAAAGGTACAAGAAAGACAAAGGGTGGGAGAAATGAGGTGGTATATCCCCATTTTACAGATAGAAACCTCCTGATGCAACGAGAGATTAAATGTTTGTCAGGAAGTTATCAGCAATTATAACCTCGGGTATTATATGCCTTGCACCTTGTGATTTGTTATGGGGGGAAATACCATTTGCTTGTTAGTTTTGAAATCCATTAGTTGAAAGTAGTAATCAATTAACAATAAAAAGGTTTCCTCCTTTGTCAAAAGCAAATACATCACCTATTAGTCTCTGGGATTTCATGGCCTTGCATCATCTGTCTTGTTGTTTTGCTCTTTGAAAGGGACTGCATGGAGCATACCCAGTTGTGATATCTGTTATTTGAGCACTCATTATTAGCCATAACAAAATATTTCTTGCCATTTAGTTACATTTTTCAATACTTAGAAGACTGCTATGTCATTTAGTGAGCATTTTTCAGCAATGCCAGACCACTGTCTCCTTTTAGCAAAAATTGCCCACTTATCTCTTTTCTTTTGTTGGAATGGCTGATATGGGTTCATGTTGGTGACTAGCGTTGCTCTTAATTTAGACCATTCTTGTAAATATTTATTTTTCTTGATGACAAATCTCCAAACTTGACAGGCACTTGCAATGGGACCCTTTGTTCTTGACCTGAGAGGCTGGCTTCCACTGGTACATAAAGGTGAACTCTAGGCTTTGTTTGTAGCCTATCTTGGTTGGGATTCACCACCAATATTGCTTTTATAAAACTCTCATCACTCCTACAGATTTAAAAAATCTCCTGTATTGCAGTGAGGCTGTCCTACTTCCACTGATGCCTTCATCATGTTAAATGTGTCTGCCACGCACTGACAAAATTAAAAATAAAATATGGGAAAATCAAACTTTCTGTTTGGGTTCTGTGGAAGGGAATCCTGTTCAACTAGCTGCCCACATAGCACAGTGCACACTCGTTTCTTTATTTTCTAATCACTGTCTTTTTGCTTCTGTCTCCGTGATTGTGGAGTGCTAAACTGCTTTTTTATCTCCAAGCAATGTCAAGTTGCACAACATCCCACACAGGCTGCTTCATGCTGGGATAAAGAGGAAGGCAGGAATGTTAAAACAATAATGGCTATGGTCTGAGGCCTGCAACTGGTAATCACATCCTAGCTAGGTACAGGCTGTTTCCTGGGAGATTATTTGAAGAAAATAGGTCTGGTTTGCAGCAAGAGTATTTTTTTTTTTTTTGCTAGTCAAACAGAGTAAATCTTTTACCCATATACATTTATTTGCAATACTGAGCAGCTTTTTCTCTCAGCCCCAACTAAAGCCAAGCACATCCCGTTTTAGCTTCCCACTAGCCTGGGTCTTGTTGGAAAAGGTCTTGCCAATTCTTTTCTTACCATGTGACCTCTCGACCTTCTGACATTAAAACGAACAGTAATTCAGGACCAGTGACTAAAATCAGGAATATGTCAAGGAGGAACACACATTCAGAAATGCATACAAATAATGTGCTTATAGATCAAACAGAATACAAAGGAGACTCTCCATTGGTACCTGAGGCTGTGTCACTGAATCTAGATGAGGAAAAATTGTAGCTGAACCTTGTCACTTTTGGAAATGGAACTTGGCCATCCAAGTTACTTAGCCCTTGAACGCTGAGGGAAGTAAATTGCAATGCCTAACTGCCTCTAAAAATCTGGGCATAAGTGCCAAATTTAGCCCTGGGCTATAGTAATTGTAAAGACAATGTGAAATCATCCTGACAACACTGAAATTCCCCCTCCCCCTTCTAACCAGCTTGAAAATTGTTTCAGCTAAACTGGAGCCATAGTATAGACCAGGCTGGGGTGGCCTGGACTGTTTTTATTTAATCAGCTTCAAAATCACCTTAAACTAATTCAGCAAAATCAGCGGTTTTGAAATCACGTGAGTATAAATCATGGTGGCCAACCTGAGCCTGAGAAGGAGCCAGAATTTACCAATGTACATTGCCAAAGAGCCACAGTAATATGTCAGCAGCTCCCCACTCCCAGCGCCTCCTGCCCACCAGCAGCCCCACTGATCAGCACCTTCCCCTCCCTCCCCGCACCTCCCGATCCGCTGTTTTGTGGCATGCAGGAGGCTCTGGGCAGGAGGAGGGAGGGGGCGGGAAGGTGTGGGGTAGAGTGGGGGCAGGGCCTGTGGCAGAGCCAGGGGTTGACCCATGAGCACCCCCCAGCACACTGGAAAGTTGGCGCCTGTAGCTCCAGCCCCAGAGTTGGTGTCTATGCAAGGAGCTGCATATTAGCTTCTGAAGAGCCGCGTGTGGCTCCAGAGCCACAGGCTGGCCATCCCTGATATAAATGGTTCAGGCCACCCAACCCTATGGCTCCAATTAGTTTTTAAATGGTTAGAATTGTGGGGAAAACTCCCTGGTGTAGACAAGCCATCTCCCTTTAGCCTGAAGATCCCTGTGCACCAGCTGAGTAGTGGATCTAATTTTGCATGTCTCCCTGCCAATCAAATTTGGGTGTGGAGGATCTGGTACTACGAGCGGTTTGAGATCCACATTACCTTTGCACCTGGTTTCTGTCCATTCAAATAAGTAATCTCTAAGGTACCCATGTATTCTTGGCTCAATATCCCTAGCTGTGGCTGACAAACGCAGATCAGATTATTCAGTTTCTTTTTATTTGAGTTTACAAAGAATGTTGCAATAACAGGGCTGGCTTGCTTGCTATGTCCCCACCAAGGAAATCTCTCTCCATCCATTTGCCAGCATATTATATTTCAAACAGATTACCAACCAGGACACTGAAGGTAACTGTTTTCTCCCCATTTATCCCCCTCTGCCAGTGACTGCAGAAAAACACTGAGCCAGAGAAAATGTAAACAAATAATATTTTAGTTCAAAAAGAAAAGTACTAATGAACAGTGTGGTTAATTCTGCCATGGTGGCATCTACCCGGATATAGTTATTCAGGAACTGCTGTCTGTTTCTGGTGCAGTTCCGATGCAGCGGAGGGTGGTGGTGGTGGGTGGGGGGGGGTTGCAGAATATAGCCTCGCTCCTTATTTTTCTTTCATATGTCTCTTTGTGTTTTATGCCCTGATTGTTGAACCCTATCTGATTTACTGTTGAAAAGGACACAGGTGAACAGAGGCAATTTGGAGGCAATAATTTATAGAAAATTTTGGAACTGACTTCCTCATTTTTCCCCCTCAAAGAGAATAGTTTTAATAAAGGGTTTGAGTTCCCTTCCTCTGACTCTGTGTGCTAGCAAGGAATTCAAATGTCTCCAAAGCGGAGGAAAAAGCATCAGAACTCTTGCCAGGAGAAGCCCCTGTCCGGATCACTTCCTTAAGCTAGTAAGAGTAGACCTATAGGCCCAGCTTTCCTCTTCTTGCCAGGGAAACTTTCTAGGAGAGTTTATCTCAGATTATGACGAGTTTGCTGAGATTTCTCCAATTACTCTGAATAAATTCATTGAACACAATGGAACTGGCAGAGCTATACAAGGAGGAGTTTGGCTCCTGGATTCTAAATCAGATGGCTGTACAACAATTATTAAAGGCACACTCTGTCTAAATATATTTTACAAGGTGCTGTTACTTGTAACCCCTACAATTTCTATAACTTTGAGAATGGGGTGGGCAACTGATATAAGGAGCTCTCTCCCCTTCCATCTATTGGAAAAACTGAGACAAAAGACCTGAGGAGCAGATTGTATTTGCACAGACGCACCTACTTTGTGTAGGTCATCAGCGGAGAGACCTACTTTGCAAAATGATCAATTTTGGCTGTTTTGGGTTAAAATGTACTTTAATCTTGGGTGCAGGGGTAATGAAATTTTGATCCTTATTGTATAATGAAAGGGCAGCAGAACTGTCCTTAGCCTGCCCTAATTAAGGGGGGTTACCCTAAGCTTACCTCATTTGCTAATCAGGGGGTAGGGATGCCAAATCCAAGTGAAAGTCCGAGGAGGTGGAGACAAGGTTTCTACCTAGTGGTGTGACCTCTGTTTAAGGAG